CCTGCTCTGTGTATAGACTACTCAACTCAGTAGGTGAGGGGATGCTGCTGAAATGCACAAGAACACTTCCTCCTTTGCTCAAAACTCTGCAAGCTACTATTTCACACAGGGCAAATGTAGAAGTCAAAGTTCTTACCCTCCTCACTGGATCTGGCCCTCATTCCTTCCCTAAAATCCTCCCCTACCCCTCTCCTCTCTGTTCCTTCCACATGGCCACACAGACCCCTGCTGACATTCTCCAGTCATGTAGCCCACATTCCTGTCTCAGTGCCTTTTCACTGCTATTCTCTCTGCCAGCACTGGTCTTCCCTAAGATGTCACATACCTTGCTCCCTCACTTCTAAAGTCTTCACTCAGGTCTCCCCTTCCCAGTGAGGCCTTCTCCACCACTCTGTGTAAAACTGCAGCCCCCTCTTTACACTCCCTTTTTTGGCTTCTCTGCCTTCCTTCACACCCTAACACTTATCCCTACGCAATACACTACATATTTTACTTATTTTTGGTTTCCTTCAACCCAAATGCAAGCTCCAGGAGGGTGGGATGAGAATGGACACCTGGCCTGAGGGGGATTGCTGTGAAGTGCACAGTGGTGCTCCACTCAGCACCGGAGCACCAGAAGCTTCTGTCTGGTCTGGGGGGTGGGGGACCATGCAGACTTGGGCAGTTCTGGTACCTATGGTTACCTTGGCTGAGAGAAAACAAGAGGCCTATTTCCAATTTCCCAGGTACACCATAAGCCTGAGAGAGAGAGGAGGCAGGGAGAAAGGAGAACATAGGAAAGGAGGGGGTGAAAAGGAGGGGTAGGAGGGAGGAGAGAGAGGGAGAGGGAAAGAGAGACTTAATAAACCTGAGATTGAATTCACCAAAATTAGATGGAAAGGGGGCTTGGAATGGGATTCATTTGACTGAAGGAAAATTTTTATTATGCAACATTTCTTACCTAAGTTTATGAACCATAATTCATACTCACTATAACGGTTCTCATTGTCTGAATAAGGGAAACAAATCGTCAGGACCAAACAAATCCTGCTGCATGCATACTGTGCAGACAGAATCTAAGAACGGAAATACAGGGTGAAGAGAACCTTTTACGTCTCCCCAAACTCCTGATGGCACATTAATTGTTGCTTCTTTCAGAATCCAACCCTCTCCCCCTCCACGATTTCCTAATAAATTCTGATGGGCACTCGAGTCAGTCAGTACTCACTTCCTGTGTTCTCCCTCTGGGTGGAAGAAATGCAACTAATGAGGGAAGGTTCAACTCAGATTTGTCTGATGACCAGTAAAGCTGACTCTTCAATCCTCAGTCCCCCGTTCTAGCAAAGGCACACCTATTTTTTCATCCTCCCTCATTCGAGCAGGAATTGCCCATACAACCCCATGTGGACGGGAGGACACACAGGCTCATTAGCCAGCAAGAACTGTTGAGTCCCCTGCCTGAGATTCAGGACTGCAGCATTTGCCCGTAGGGTGCTGCAGTCTTTGGAACTTCACGCCAGTTTTGAGATCTGGTCCTGCTCATCGAACAGGGACAGCCTGTTCAGGGAGGGCAAGCACTGCTTGCTTGTTTCAGCGTTGGGTACCAAAAAAGAAAAAAAATAGTTCACCTATTTGGCCGGTCTTAGGGCATAACATCTGTATTTTCCTCTTTTTTTTTTTTCTTAGAGGTTAATATCTTGAGCTGAGAGTTCAAGGTTAAAAGATTTTTATTCTGCTAAAATCTATGACAATTTTATTGCTGACATCTTGGGAGCACTGTTTCTGGTCACTCTTCAAGCCTATATGAAATATATTTCGCTTTTATAGCCATCAGTTTCAATGGTGTGAAATGATTCAAATACCATTTGAAGGGATAGGCAAAGTATTTTAAATTCTGGGAAGGGGCTTTGAAAGGTCCTGGGACAAATTCCCGGGCCTTAATCACCGCAAGCAAATTAGAATCTCAGCCCACTTTTTTTTAGATTCCCGAGAAAGCGAGCTACCTTATCCTCTCTAAATATATCCCACAGTAAAATTGTTGATTATGGCAGAAAAGTACTCAGTCAGCCAGTCAGCACAAGTTCTGCCATTTATTTTGTTAGCCTAACTTTCTAAAGTTAGCGATGCTTTTATACTGAATGGTTGATCCTAATCTAGTCTGAAAAGCAGCCATAGGCAATTATCACTTTAAATAAGGGGGGAGGGGAATCAATACTTATTTCTTTTTCTGTGTAAATGGAAATAATGGAGCCATGATGGCTTTGTCTGCTACAAAAAAATACATATCCTTCAATTCTCTAAGTTCAGAAGAGGGAAACGATTTAACAAGAATCACAACTCAATAGAAACTCAGTCAAATTTCCAGAACAAATGATTTCATGCCCACGACCGAAGTATTCATGATGGTCTTGGCCTGGGCATGTTCCTATGCATTTATCTGCCCAGAGTCTATGTGTTACTGTTCTACTATGTGTCTTTCCCCTTGTAGTTTTTAACACACAAGCTCCTCTATTAAATTTTTATCAGACTGGAAACCAGAGCTAAAAATAAGGCCAGAAAAACATTTATTGATGTTTACAATAAAAATTTATTGAGCACCTATCTGCATGTATCAGGCACTGTGCTAGGTTTTCCAGATGACAAAAATGGCTAAGACTCAGGCTCTGCTCACAAGGAGCTCACAATCTACAGATGATGGAAGGCAGGGCAGGCAGGTAGAGATAACTACTTGAGCAAAAGAGGCAGTTCTGAGATAGAGGCTTACACAGAGTAGTGTGGGAACATGGGTTGTACGGTGAATAACTGAGCCTACCAGAATCTGTGTGTGTGTGTGTGTGTGTGTGTGTGTGTGTGTGTTATAAGATTTCACAGAAGAGAAGATTTTCAAACTGAGGCTTGGAGTGTAGGCTTTTGTCCATAAGAAGAGTTGGAAGAGGTTGGAATTTCAGCAAATGTCAACACAGGAGAAAAACATATCTGATAAGGAATGTCATTACGTCATTTATGGGGAAATTGCAAGTAGCTTGGAAGGGGTGGAACATAAGGTCTCCATGTATTATGGAAGAAGGGGAAACCAGAGAAATGACAGATGAGAAGATATGGAAAGATTTTCAGTTAGCAGTGGAATAAGGAAGAGGTTGGGCCGCATCAAGAGGGTCTATGTTATCATGAGAGTAACCTATTAGAGAGCTGACCAATAACAGCAGATTTTGTTGACTGTTGAGACCAAAATGTCAAATATTTGCTACCCAACTCTTTCGAATCTGAAAAGAGATCACAGAATTCTTCCCTGCATGTAAAAGAACCTAAGAGATCTTACCAGAATGGTGGAGAGCTCCCCCATTGGACTCATTTGTTTACAGAATTGGCCTCAGTCCCTGAACAAAGTCATTCTAATGCAGAAAGAAGCTCTTTGCTAAAAGAGAAAGCTCTTTGCTTAGCTTGGATTGGAAAATGAATCAGATAAACAAGATAGGCAGATGCCAAGAAACAGGTTTCGCTAACATCAGATCTACTCCCCCACCATTATTCTTTTGAGTCCATTATTATCTTGATCGACAAAGTGACATTTTAGTACTAAGCATGACAAACATTTCAGGGACAGCCAACTCATATCAGTCCATTGCAAAAGATGAAGAGAGGGCAGATGTTTAGACTGCATTATCTTCTTCACACAACCTATTCTTTTAGAGGGAAAGTTCTTTAAAGTAGAGAAAACTTCAAACAACACATTCAGTTGAGAGCGTCTGAGAAATGGCAGGTCATCAGAGTCCAAAGTTAACTGATCATGAATTTGATATTTGTATTATGGATGGCCTTTTACTTGATCTGTTGAGTCTACAGGAAGTAGAAAGTCCAAATGATTGGGCTGAACAGGATAGAGCATCCACAGAAGGCAATGCAATGTCCCTGATATACATGTCACCTACCTAGAGGAAGTTTAACATCGTTTTCAGGTCATGTGGTTTGAACCCAGGGCTTTCAGCTATGAAAATATAAATTCATTATTTCTTAATTCCAGGTCTCCCTGGATGAAGTTCTGCTATGACCCTTAACTTACTGACTGTTAATTGGTCTCATGGAACAGTTATGGGCCCAATGATGGAAATTTTCATGTCATGGTTATCCCAATGCATTGGAACATGGTGCAATGATCAAAAAAGATGCCAGTGATGACAATTGAACGTCCCTTTGCCTTCCCAGCCTCCTTCATATATTCTCAGGCATAGGATGACAAAGGGAAGTCCACGAGTCACATGAAGAAATACTGTAGCCATGGTTACACGTTCAGGAGCTCCTCTGTTTATCTTCACCACCCCCCCCCCCCCCCCATGTCATCACCATGCCCTACTTCCTCCTTGTGTGGCTCCTGTGAACTCCTCCACCATCTTGCCACTAACCACCATCTTCTGCCCAAAGTTCTCCTGCTGATGAATTCCAGCTGATGTTCAACCCGTGTGCGATGTGGAGTTTGTGTTCAAATAGTTGTTGAATGAAATAAAGACCCCCAAACCCTCCAAAGTAACAAGACTTTGGGTAGTGTCTTTTTGAATGAAATAATGCTTCCCTATGTGGAGTGAAAAGAGCAAAGGTTTGGGAATCACATCAGCCTGGTTTGTGCTATGCTGTACCACTACCTGGATTTAGAACAAGAGCCTAATTACTCTGAAATGCTGTTTCATCAACTGTAAAAAAGGGAGATAATAATCCTTAATTTGAAGGGTCTCCGTGGATATTAAAAGAGACAATACATATGAAAATGTCTAGCATAGTGCCTGGAACACACCAGTGCCTCAAGAAATGCTCATCTCCATCCTCCCTGTTTTATGGGCAATTTTAGGATAATAACTAATAAGGAGTATAATAATAATCTCGGCTGTGGTTGGAAGTCTTAGAAAGAGAAGCAGCAGTCATAAGGAGAGAGAGCGTTAGGAGTTTTGAAAGGAAATGAATGGCTTTATGGTTAATTGTCTTGGTTGGGGTTTAAGAGGAGATTCATGTTGTCCATTAATTATACTTACCTATTGTGTCTAATTGGCAACTACCCCAAAATGAATAAAACAAGCGGGAGTCAAGAGAGAAAAACGGCAGGCATCCTGTCAAAAAATAAAATCTTTGAAATTTCTACAACCCAATGGTTGAATATACATTTTATTAAAGCAAAGGGACTCACCCACTTTACAAATTTATACATGTGATGGCAATCCAAGTTGCACACTAAGACTTTTGCAAAGCATCAAATAGCCCTCTGTAGCAGCTAAGCCTGGTCTTCTCATTCCTTTACTTGTCTGCCTCATTAAAATTAGCCATCCCCTTTGCTGGAGAGGCATCCCTTATTATTTGGCTTCAGCCTAGGTGAGTGCTGTGGTGCTCAAAGGGTTAAACGAGGCAATCCGTGTTGAGTACTTAGCCCTTGTAAATCCTCCAGAAATGTTAGCTGTTGGTACAGTGATTATAATAATAATTATGAATCATTTGATTCTGTGTTTTCCAAGACTGAACAAGAACTGATTGTCCCCTCTCTCCTTTTAAAAAAGTGTTCTTTTTTTGTTTTTGTCTTTAGACATATGTGTCCTGTTCTCAGATGATTAGCTACTTGTGACAAGGAATATTTTTTTTTCCTTCACTGACTAATGTACTAGTTAATTTTCTTTTTAGAGAAGAATTGAAACCAATGCCGACATATCATTCAATATCATATTATTTACTGAAAAGATCCCCACATTTCCCTCTCTTTTCCTTCTCTCATTGCCAATAAAATGACTAATTAGATACACAGACATATAGAAAGACATATATAATATAAGTAGGTACACAGACATATAGAAAGATATATGTATTTATTATATTATATATAATATTATTTACCTACATTATATATTATTATATTATATATATACTTATATATATATATCTACCTATATTATATATCTTCCCCTTTCTTTCTTCCTTCCTTTGTGTATGCATACATGTATATATCTATCTACTTATTTATCCACAGAAAAAGTCATCAAAGCCACTTCATTATAATAGGTTTCCTTACCAATTTGTCTATACTATCTCAAACTGGGAGGCAAATTTAATTGTAATATCAAGACTCTGGAGTTGTTAATTTACTAAACAAGCTAGCCTGGGGTAAGATGGTCCAGTATCTCATTTCAAATCTAGGCCTCAGGGGTGAATCCCATCAAGAGTTCTGTTTCCTTTCTTTGTTCCTTCCCTGGAGGCATTTACGGAGCCCCCAGACCTTCAAATTATGTCTTCTGGTCCCAGCTTCCTAAGATCAAGCCAGACTCTTAGAGGAGCTTCAACTGGGGGCAGTGGTTGGGCAGATGGTAGCCAGTTTGTGAGAGACACAGTAGGGTCTTATCCACTTTTCAGGAACATCGCTTGGTGATTCCTCGGCACCCACAATCTGTCAGAGCTGCCTTGTCATAAGAATGTACCCACTGGGGGAAAGACAAAGCAATATCCCTCGAAGCACAAAATGTAAGGGTTGGTTCCTATGGATTCTTAATAGTTTGTAAAATAACAAGCCAAGAGTAACTACTGTATATTTTCCAGAAAGTTACCAATTAGCGTGTTCCTGAGAACATAAATTCAGCTGGGGAGCACACGGCTCCCCAGCTCGCTCTACTGCTGTGTATGACAATTAGACTGCTTGCTAAACACTATGAGCAAAGCCCCAAATAGACAAAAACACAAACCCTCCTGGAAATTTAGCACGAGCGTTTGTTTATGGGGCCAAGGACAAAACTGGCGAGCTCTGTGTTTTGAAGAGCACACCGGTATTTTCAGTGTATTTCTTTTTTGCTTCCAGTTACCAAACCCTAATGAACAAAAGATAAAACACCATTTTAGTGAATATGAACCAGATTTGTTGAAGGTTTGTTGCATGGCTGCAAATGGAAATGTCTAGACATCTGGCATCTGTTGACTGTGACCCCAGTTGTCTCGTTACTTCCTTGATTACCCTTTCGGGCATGGTGTAAAAAGTGGTCTCAAGGGGGAAAATAAAGGGCCATGGATTTTGCATCAAATGAGGTTGATACCCTAAGAACCCTGCTTTCGTTCCTGACTGAGGTGCATGGAGAAACTTTCCTCATTTGAGTGCCTCTGGTGTTATGTTAAATACATGAAAACTGGGGCCCCTAGGTGGCTTAGTCGGTTAAGCGTCTGACTTTCGCTTAGGTCATGATCTCGCGGTTCGTGGGTTCGAGCCCTGCGTCGGGCTCTGTGCTGACTGCCAGCTCAGAGCCTGGAGCCTATTTCAGAGTCTGTGTCTCCCTCTCTCTCTCTCTCTCCTAGAAATAAATAAAAAAATATTTAAAAAATAATAAATACATGAAAAGTACCTCCCAAACTAACTTGGTGACTGTGCTGAGCAGCAGACTAGGTATGTGGCATTCTGAGCTCAGCTAAGATTTGCGCCAGCGAATGCACTGCATGAAGAGGGAGGACACCTCATCTTTTCTAGGTGGGCTTTCTCATCTGGAAAATGAAGAAAGTGACCCTGGTGAAATATATATATATATATAACATATATTATATATGTTCATATATAATAATGTATGATATATGTAAAATCCCATTTCCTAAAAAAACAAATCCCAGTTCACATGTAGACCTCGTTTGTGTTGGCGGCTGAAATAATGCAATGCCGATACGTAAACAATTGAATGAAAGTACACCAAATTCAATTAGACCACATGCTGTGCGCTAAGTTTCTGGAGGTTGAAAGCTTTCACCTACATGGCTTATAATCCATTGCCCACATTCTACTCATTAAAATCTTACTTAAAATACCTCTGCCACATACCCCCTTGAATATTCCACCTAGAAATACTCTTTGTATGAATTCCTGTTGTATTTTATGTCTTCAAAGGGCACTTAACACTTGCTGCTTATTATATTGCAGCTCTTTGTATCCTGAGCAGAAACAGCCCAGTGGTGGGCGCTGATGCAGGCTGACTTCTGGGTCTGCCTCTTATCACCAGCCAGACATTGGGGCCAATACTGACCTCTTCATACTTCAGGGTTTTTCTTTTTTCTTTCTTTCTTTCTTTCTTTCTTTCTTTCTTTCTTTCTTTCTTTCTTTCTTTCTCTCTCTCTCTCTCTCTCTCTCTCTCTCTCTCTTTCTTTCTTTCTTTCTCTTTCTCTCTCTCTCTCTCTCTCTCTCTTTCTCTCTTTCTTTCTCTTTCTTTCTTTCCTTCCTTCCTTCCTTCCTTCCTTCCTTCCTTCCTTCCTTCCTTCCTTCCTTTCTTTCTTTCTTTCTTTCTTGTCAGTGGGAATAATAAATGATACTCACTTTACAGGGTTGTTGTCATAAGGAGTAAACCACAATTTCTTGTAAAGTGTTTAGAATAGCATTCAATTAAACACTACTTATTGCTAACTTATTTGTCAAACTCTAAGTTCTTCAAGTGCACAACTATGCCTTATTTATCTTGCAATCCCTATTGTGCTTTGTATGTTGTAGGTGAACAAGCCAGTACTGGTAGAGTGATAGAAATGCTGTCAGGGAGAAATACAGCAGAGCAATCACTGTTTATTTTAAATGAAAGATATTTTGAGTTCTCATTTTGCTACATTTTGAAAAGCCGAAGAGCATTCAGCCTGTGTTTTGGCTCCCCATGAAGCACCTTAAAGGTATAGTGGAACAAAGCGCCACTTTGCCACAGTGAGCACCACAGACAACATCCAACAGGAAACAGCTGTTGAATGAGCTATTGTATGACCCAGCTCCATCCATCTTTCAGCTCCCAAAGGCCCCGGGAGAGCAGAGCTGGATTCTGGGGTAGCCAGGACCATAAGGAAGGGAAAATGAACACTTCCAGCTCCAAGCAACTCTACATACAGTAGAAATATAAAAGTGGGACATTTTCGGGAGCCCATTATACTAGGGTGTCTGGTTATGGCTTTTAATTGGGGATAAATTTAGGCTGTATTGTCATTCATTAACTCCAAGTAGGGAATTTAATTTTGTTTCTGATTCCAGCTACTATCAAATATAAGCATCAAATCTGTTACACTGGTCTCATAATTTTTTATACACATCCTTTATGTATGATTGGGCAGTAGGATTCTCTATAACATGTCCTTAGCCAGCCGCTTCCTTTAGGTTTCCTGACATGACTCTTTCCTCTTAGATGAAGCAGAGGATCGCCAACAGGTTGAGTGAGCAAGAGAAAACAAGCCTATGCTGGCTCCTTATCCCCCAAGTCAAGAATGATATATATACACTTGAGGGAGGAAGCTTCTGAACTTGTCTATTACATGAATAGGCTGACTACTTCCAAAGGTTTTCTTCCTCCCTCCTTCTCTCCCAAGTCCTTTCCCCCTTCCCTCTGCCCGTCCTTCTCTCCCTCCTTCCTTCCCTCCTTTTCTCCCTCTTTCCCTCTGTCCTTCCCTCTCTTTCTTCCTTTCTTTCCTTTCCTTCCCTTTCCTTCCTTTCCCTTCTCTTCCCTTCCCTTCTTCCCTTCTGGCTCCTGCGCCTATCCCTTTACTTTCTTTCCTTTGGTTTGCCTGTCTCCCTTCCCCCCCTCCCTTTCCTTCCTTTCTCCTTCCCTCCCTCCCTTCCACGACAAAATCTGTGTTTGTTCATTGTAAAAAAACAACATTGACAAGTGTTCAAAGGTATAAGTGGAACATGTCAGTTCTCATTCTACCTCCCTTACCCCAGGTTTCACATCTTACCTCCTTCACCTCCTCCTTCACCTCATGGACAACTAATAATTATTCACCTGTGTCCTTTCAGGTATTTTATAAGCATATACTCTTTCAAATTCTTATAAACATAAATGTAATCATAAGCACACAGTTGTACTGTTTTATAACAGGCTTTTTAACTTAAAAAAAAAAAAAAACCCTTGGATATCTATGTATATGAGCCCAAATAGAGCCAGTCCATTTTTCATAGTAACTTCAGAGAATTTCACTATACATTTACACATAATTTAATGAGTCACTTATTCATGAATCTTTGAGTTATCCCATTTTTATTATTGTAAACAAACCTGCAGTAAATATGAATAGAAAAAATTCTTAGAAGTTAAAATAAATGGCCAAGGGTATGCACATTTTAAATTTGATAGAG